GTTCTGTGGTGCATTTGGGCAACGTAAGCCTCTCACTGAATGTGCTCCTGTGATAGGCCAGCACATCATGGAGCGCGTGGGTGGTATTGTCCACCTTTGTCCTTGGACAACAGACCTGATAAGCCAAACTGCCTCCACACATGTTTATTGTGCACGAGGTGACTGCAGAGGAAACTCTGTGACAAGCAACCTTTAAAAGTTCTCATTATTTCTGAATTTGCAAGAAAATATGAAAGATTAAGATAAGATAAAACTTTATTAATCCCTCGGGTGGGTTCCTCTGGGAAATTTGGTTTCCAAAAAAGCACAGCACCGACAGAAGTTACAAGTTACCTTCAGACTCTTGGACTCCACTGTGTGTTTTCCATGTGGGCCAGGCCACATGTTTGACACAGAAATACATGCATTTTTATTAAATATTAAAGCTGCAACCCAAATTTGTGAACTTCAAATTAGAACCACATTTGAAACCTTACGTGTCATATTTTACGTTCCTTTAAATCAGCAAAATAAGTGACTGATGCAGAAGTATTGAATCACCTGCATGTTTACTTGGGCTGGTCTTCTTCTGATCTGTCAACCACTGGTATAATGAAATGATCTCCCTATTAGGAGCTTAAACATGAATCCACAGTCACAGTAATCATACAGCGCTGCACTCGCTTACTCTTTATTTGAGCATCCCTTAAATCAATTCAAGTCATCTTATAACCACAGATATGGAGAACACGTAGTACAAAAATGCAAACCCCTGAAGGACGGCTGAATAACAAAATGCACTTTGCCATGTGGTGTTACTCAAGCCACAAGAACCCACGCGACAGGTTGCAGGGGTTAAATTGTCCCAGTGTGACTTTTAAAAGAAAAACAAAAACCAGCTGCTCGAGAGTTTGGTGGCATTTTCTATTTTCAATTCCACTTCTTGATCTCACAGCGTTTCATTATGTCACAGCTGAAAATGGCCTATGGAAACGTCCTTTTGTTGAGATGGCACAAAATAACGAACCCAGATGTTTTAAGGAATTGCTGAATCGATGGGGTCCGAGGTTCAGGGTAGTGAAAGGACCAACAGATTCTCTTTGTTCAGTTAGTTATTAAAAAATAAAAACCCAAAACACATCACTTGTGTTCCCATGTGCTCCAAGCACAGCAGGGTATAATGTACCACTAATTTTCTGCAACCATGAGGCAATTGCTTCTAACTTAAGGGCAGGATGCATCTAGTTTTCCTCTATATCTTTTGTTCCTGCACATATCTAGCAGATACCATCGTCCATGTGGTGTGAGCCTACAGAGCAGGTCCAGGTGCTCCTAAATGAGGGTACATCCAATCAAAATAAAAATGTCCACCATACTTTATTAGCTTTTCAAGGTAACTCTTGTATAAGGTGACACAGGTATTGAGAAAGACATGGTTTCTGTTACAAGTCACCTCTACAACTGAAACAATGAATTCAATGGTTGTTTCCCCTGTTAGGGGTGAAAATGTGATCCAGTTATTAGCAAAAGCTAAAGTCCCTTTCACAAATGCACATCTGCATAAAAATGAACTATATTTGAATGACACAACATAGTTACTTTAACAGACCCGTGAGGTAAAAGGTCAAACACACAGAGTGATATATCACACACTGCTGATCAGCAGGATAAAGTGTATGAAACAACAAGCTGAACTCATTTGATCTCTTTATAAGCTTGCTGGTGCAGCCCTCCACCACAGTCCTAGTTTCTTAAGTCGCCTCTGAAATTTAAATGTTTTAAATCCTTCCTCCGGGGTATCTTAATGAAGCTGTCCCAAAGATTCATGGTGGAAAGAAAAACACTTAATGCTGGTGTTTCCCATTAATCCGCTAGCCACCCATTTAGCATCTTTAATTCATGAAAGCACTAACTGTTAAAAAAAGGCTTTAATAGTTGAAGAAATGGCAGTATCACAGAGTTTCAAGAAAAACATACACTGCTAACAGAGGCTGCACCGCCATATCATCAAAATCCCACTTTATTACCCGTTGCTTTGATTTTACTGTCGTGAAAGACGTCCAAACTCCAACAGAGCAAGAACAAAGTCGTGTCCGGTGGTGGTTTTCTCTCATATTGCATGGTTATGGAATGTAAATGTAACTGTTACGTAAATGGACAAAACACAATCCACACACACGTCTGTTTCCTGAACCAACATAGGATGAAGAGGAGACAGAATGAAGCTCTGGCCTTGTTATTTATTCTATAGTTCTTCCCTGCGGTGTGGATGGATTGGCTGAGCGGCAGGATCAGTTGCCATTTTGGTTCATCTGTAGATACTCGTTGTGTAACTTTTCTTGGGTCTCGTAGAGCTTGCGGAGCTTCTTGGCTTGACCTTTGCTGAGCTCCTTCCCTTCAACGTCATGAGTGGGGAAACCCTGTTAACAGCAACAAAACCAAACGCACCTTTAAAGCTTTTCAGGTTGACACAGTTTGTGAGTTCTGACGTACACACAGTTACACTGAATGCGGATGTCATTTCAAATAAGGACATTCATGTCTGTACAAGCAAGTCCCTGTGAGATCGGTCTTTCCTACTCTTGGATCCGCATCACATCACTGACCTCAGGCACACGTCTCGCTGCGAGCACCAAATCCCCACTTTTATTGCTGTAACTTCATGATTTTGTGGTGTGGGCTCGTTGGCCCCGTGACCACCTAACCCTGGAGTACCAGGTGCTAATCTTTGTCTTTGCTTTCCTAGATATCCCAGATTTCTGAGGTCATCGGGGCCCACGAGCCTCACCACCAACATGGCAGCTTAACAGGTTCTTCTCATGAAAAATTAAGCATGGGAGGTAAAAGAAGGATTTACCGTTTCATCAAACTTTGAGTATTTGTCTGTTTCACTGCGAAACATTTCACTTGCAGGGATCTTCATCTTGGCCAGTTTCGCCATCTGCAACAGTAACAGAAACATGAAGACTTTCCTGATGACACAAACGTAGAAGGTCACCGTCTATATAAACCATCAGACTGACCTCTTGCTCCTGTTTCTTCTTAGCAGCCTCTAGCTTCTTCATTTTCTTCTCTTCTTCCATCTGTGAAAGACGGGATTTTAGGCTACGTCCACACGTACCCGGGTATTTTTGAAAA